TGTGTTTGCGCTACATTCGGTCTGTATAATATTAGAAAGGTTAAAAGAAACTGAAGGGCAAGTTTACCAGCACTTTCTTTTTATCGTAGACAACTTTTACTTTGGATATTTACAACGAGTATTCAATGTGAGTTGAACCGCTCACAAAAATCTTTACGCACTGATGTTGGCTGTGCACATGGTGTAATCGCACGTCATATCCTAATTCTAGAAGAAGTAGAGTTTTGACCAGTCACATGTTTATATTGGTGTTGGGCTCATTTACCAATAACATACTTTTTCTTCAGAAATTGTGTGTTCTGTGCAAGATCATAAGTGTTTTATCAAAAGCTGATCAATTTATCTTTAAGAACACTTTTGACTCTGTTTATTGATTCCTCTCAAAAGACTTACATCTCCAGCGCCAGCACCAGCCAAATTTTCCGTGTTAAAATCTACTAGAACTTTGGTCAAATCGACATCCTGAAATTTGCAATACTGATTTGAGCAGGTAATCTAACTATTAGAAATTCCATAAAAACACCTCTTCTAAAGGAGCGTATATGTCTTCCTTCTTGTCCGACATTGTTATGAACTTTGTGGGTAAATCAATGCCACGGACCTGAAATTGTCTTCAGAGATCTTTAAGTTAAGCCGCCAAAAATTTGAAAGGATCTTTTTGCGGAGATTGTATTTGCACTGTAGGTTAATTAACCTTATCGGGAGGCTTGTAGTAGGTCCTGCTTAAAGGAGAACGTGAGGGTGTTCGATTGAAGTCAACAGGAAGTCTGGCTGTGTGGTCGAAGTAAACGGGAAGTCTGGCTGTTTTGTCTTTCTGTAAATATGACTTTGTATCACTCTCCACCTGAACTATTTGATAAAAATGTTGTCACCTCAACAGGAGTCCGATCTTTACTTCCTTTAGTTCGAGACTCTTTCGAATGCTGGAAAGTGAAGGAATGATTTGGTAGATACAGTAATCTATGAAATGAAAGAGCGATTCAATAATGACATATTAGCCCGACTGTTAACAAACTCCTACTTTTCTTTTTCAATAATTTTGTTCTTGTTCAAGACTTGAATTCATCTTAGTCCTATTACCACGTTCCAGCAATATCCTTCTTTTTCCATAACTCTCGCGCAAGCGATTTAGCTGGTGCACTTAGTTTAAGAATTTGACTAATTATAGAACACTACGTCAATATTGTTTTTTGAGCAAATAGATATTACAATTTTTGGGGTGAAGGGTCATGTGTTAAATGCGTAAGAAACTTTGAGAAAAAATACGAACGCTATTAGATTTCAAGCAAATCCATCAATGAGATCATTTTGTTCGTAGGGAGACTTTCGGGTCGCGCAGATATTTTTGGAGCTAGACCAAATTACAGCGTCGTTAGAATGAAAATTTCTCTAAAATGAAAATTAAGGTGATTGCTTTTTATTCATTATGCCTTCAACAGATAGAGACAAGAATAAGATGGTCAAAATTTGCGTTTTCCAATCTTTAATTCAATTTTTTCGTTAAGCGTTCTTTTAAGCTCTTAGTTTCTGGCATGAGCTTTCCAAAGTGGTTTCGTAGAGTTTTCACTCAGACTTGGTAGTGGTCCTTCACCGCTATAATCTTTATTTTTCCAAGATATTTTTGACTCTTTTTGATTTTTTGCAGAGATTTACAGAGATGGGCAAACCGAAATGTCGAAGTTGATCAATCCTTTTCACAACACCCGCTGTTAGGGAATATCATTAGATAAATTATTTTTATTATTATATTATTACTTATTATATTATTGCTATATCTAATGCGTATCCCCCGTGATGGTCTACCGCCTCATCGTGGCGCGGGGGCGACTCTGGGTATCGAACTGCGAAGTAGGAGTTTTATCCTCAGCAGGGTCTCCCAAGCTGAGAAGGACTTCGATGTTTTGGTTCCCCGGATACCCAGCTAAATAGGCCATGCCAGAAGCACCACCGCCTGACTGATTCAGTCGCTAGGTGGCTCCCTTATCTACATAATATTAACGATTGCCGGTAGTGAAAGCTTGGCAGGGTCCTGGCAAGGCACTGCTAATGTTTGGCGAGAAGCCCTTTACTGCCTGTACAGCATGTAAGAGGAAAAGAAGCTCTCCATACTGGATCACATCTACGGCGTCGGATGTCATCAAGACCAGTGTCAGGTGGCACAGGACGCCATAAATTTCAGACCAAAAGGACACGTCCACGACTCGCCATGGAGATTGTCTCATGCTCTGCACCTACAACGCCAGAACAGTCTCCACCAACGCCGATC